CAGAGATATAGGCAGTGGGTAAAGAGCCAGCCCCTCACATATAAGTTAGGAGGTAGATGACAATGATGATGATTTATGGGCTTACTCTGTCTGACACAGCAGCCTTTGAGACAAGGACCAGGATTTTAGGAATGAAGAAACAAGCTCAGAGTGCTGGGTCACCTGACAAATGAGGCTCAATCCAGTTCTCTAGCAGGAGTTTAGGCCGAAGAAGGGAGGCTTCCATTCTTGGCTCCTTTGACCTGAATGCTTCTCATTTCCTCAAAGCCCGACCCATCCTCCTCAATATATGGTACCAGGGTCAAAAGTGACCTCTAAAAACCTACCCTTTCATGTAAAGAGGAGTTGATTTTAGAGCTACACAGTTGGCATTAATTAACATTGAGTGAATTATACAGTAGGTCTCCCCTCCTCCACTTACCTGTGGTTTCACTTCCCACAGTCAAACATGTTAAATGGAAAATTCGAGAAATAAACAATTCATGCATTTTAAATTGTGTACCATTCTGAGTAGTGTAAGGAAATCCCATGCCATTCGTCTCCATCCTTCGAGGATGTGAATCATCCTTTGTCCAGCCTGTCCACACTGTACATACACACCCCTCCCCGCCACAGCCCCCAGTTAGTCATTGAGTAGCTGTGTCCGTTACAAGACTGAAAACACACAGTATGTATTGTGTGAGGTTCAGTACGCTCAGCAGTTTGAGGCATCTGCTGAGAGTCTTGGATAATGGGGGCTACTGTAATTCAATTCTTCTTTGGAATGCCTGATTATAGAAAGATTTTTGCTGTAGGGTGTATGTGCTCACCAGAGACACACAGATAGACAGAGAGAGAGAAAATGAGAAACCACACCCCGGGGTATAATCATGCTGCAATCCCTTCTTCTCCATTCTCCTCTTGGAACTTTAGGCATGCACACACATGTGCCAGGCCTGAGTTTCAAGCCCCCGGGTCCAGACTGAACCGGTGATCAACCATGTAGGAGTCCAGCACCTTAACCACTATACCACTTGTTGACCCCAGAAGGTCTGATTATTAAGGAGATAGTCTCTAAGATCTCTAAGATTTCTTTTTAAAGCAAGAAACAGCATTTTTAAAGCATGGGCACATTCATAACTGCACAGCATTGTTTTTTCATTGTGGTTTCTTTTTTTTTTTTTTACAGATTTGTCAGAGGGTACATATGCTTGCCAGAGAGAGACAGAAAAAGAAGGAGAGAAGAAAGCACCCCCCATGGGGAATAGTCATGCCTCAACCCCTTCTCCTCCATCTCTCACTCTTTTTGGGACTTGGGGCATGCATGCACATGCACCTGGCATGGTTTTAAAGCCTGGTCCAGGACTCAAACTGAGCAGTGAGCCATGTGAGATCAAGTCACCCTAACTACTAAGCCATGGACTGGTCCACATCTGTATTTTTATTTTTATCTTTAAGGTTTATCTCCTTTTATGGTAAATGATACTGATTTTTCCATCAAAGGTATTGATATAATTTTTTAATGTTAAGAGGTGCTTTGCTATTTACTTATTTATTTATTTTAATTTGTCAAAGGGCACATGTGCTCACCAGAGAGAGACAGGAGAACAGAGAAAAAGCACTTTCCAATGGGGTGTGGTCGTGCCACAGTTCCTTCTCCATCTCTCCGTCCTGTCAGGAGTTCGTACATGCTCACACATGAACACAATGTTTCTCAAGCCACCGGGACTGGGATTTGAATCCCATGGTCAGCCATATGGTAACCAGTTCCCAGGGAGCTGACCTTGTTTGTTTTGTTTTCTAATAATCTGACCTTTTATTTATTTATTTATTTGTTTGTTTGTTTATTTATCTATTTTTAGAGATTTTTGCTATAAGGTGTGTGTACTCGCTAGAGAGACAGAGAGAGACAGAGAGACAGAAAGTGAGAAATTGTTTCCCAAGGGGGCTGGCCGCACTGCAATCCATTCTCCATTCTCCACCAGGGATTTTGGGCACGCATGCACATACATGGGTCTAGGACTTGAACCATGGTCAACTACGTGGGAGTTCAGTGACCTAACCATTATGTCATCTGCTGGTCTCAAATAATCTGATTTAAAGGGAGTGAAAGGACAGCTAGAAGGAGAATATGAAAGCCCTACCTCCACTGGATTCTGGATTCTGAGGGCCCCTGTTAATGAAACTGATTAGTTGTATCAACACCAACAAGTTGTGTACCCTTGCCCTGCTCTCCCCAGTCTCTGGCCTGATTCATGCTCAGTCTATTCAGTACTGACGTTTCCTTGTAAACTCTGAGACAATCCCTATAGGGAAATATCTAGATAAAAAAAGAGAAAACTGGGTGAATTGCAAAATGTAGTAAGTACAATGAAGAAAGAGTATGAGAAACCTTGAGTTTATTTGGAGCATGAATCAGTGTTCTCCCTCTTCACTACCTTGGGGCTGGGCTGGGACATCCAACCTTCCTGAACCACAGTGAGTCGGTGGACAAACTGTTGCAGCAGTCAGTGCTATGCATTCCATGATGATCTGCCTCGGGTTGGTCAAGGCACAAGATGGCACCATTCAGTCCACAGGGCAAATGCACCTTTCCTACCCTTTCCAAAGGAGCACCTGGTCCAGTCATTTTTGATGAGGGCTCCCTGCTTAACTTCCTTTACAGCACATGTTTCTACTGGAAATAGTATTGTTAACTTGTGTGCTATCTGCATAGCTAGAATTAAAGACAGGGAGCAAGGGCCACCCCTGCCTTACACATGAGACCGTAGGGTATGCCTAACACATTGCAGGCACCGGATACACACTGTCGAATGAATGAATAAGCCTGAAATGAATAAATACTGAAACATATTTTACTCCATTCCCCATCCACATTCCTAGAGATTATGAGCTTTGGGCTAGGCTTGCATTTCTCAAGTGACCAGGAACCTACAGCCAACCTCCTCTCCCTATTCCTCACCCTCATATTGTGTAGAAGAGAACACCAGAATAGAGTTTGATTTTGTGTAAGGATCTTGGATTATTTTACCAATCTTAAAACAATTCAAACTAAGAGAGGGAAAAGTTAAAAATCAACCTCTGGGCCTGACACCTGAAAACCCAGATATGTGACCCATGGCAGCTGGGCACACTTCCCAGGTTTATTTCACCAACTCCAAGGGGAGTCTCAGAGGGTCAGCAGATGGTGTTGCGGTTATGTTGCTGGACTCCCACGCGATCAACCATGGTTTGAGACCCAGTGGCTTGAAACACACATTTGGCCTAGGTGAATACCTGCCCAAGAACCCACGAGGAAAATGGTGATTTCTCACTTTCGTTCTCACTGTCTCTGTCTCTGTCTCTCTCTCTCTGGTAAGCACTCATACCCTAAGGGAAAAACCTCTTAAAAAAAAGGGGAGGGGGATCTTGGAACACCAGCCCAAAATGTCACACTAGCATGACAAACAGGTACTAACTTTGAAGTGTGCTGTGGACTTATGATGAACTAGAACAGTGCTGTTCAATAGAATTTGAGATGAGTTCTAGAGGGTAACTGTTAGTCATGTGTCAAGCACTCGAAATGTGGCTAATGTGACTGGAGCACTGAATTTTTAATTATATAACTTAAATTTAAATCTGAATAGCCACATGGGGGCCAGCCAGTGGCATGGTGGTTCAGGCAGCTGGATCCCACATAGCCGACTGTGCAGTTTGAGTCCTGGACCCAGTGGCTCGAAAAACACTCTGGATGCATGTGTGTACATGCCTAAAATCCCAGAAGAGGGACCAGCAGTTAGCGTAATGGCTATGTCGCTGGACTCCCACGTAGTCGACCGCAGTTCGTGTCCCGGACCCGGTGGCTTAAAACTCACGTCGGGCGCGTGTGCGTGCGTGCCCAAGATCCTGAGAGGAGAATGGAGAAGGGATTGCGGTGTGGCCATCCCCCCTGGGGGTGATTTCTCGCTTTCTGCCTCTTTGTCTCTTTCTGTCGAGTGCATGCGCCCTATAGCAAAAACCTCTAAAAAAAAAAAAAATTCCCAGAAGAAAGAAGAAATGTAGAAGGGATTGCAGTGTGACCCTCCCTCCCCCAAGGGGAGGAAGTATGCTTGAGCACAGGTGCCCTCTGGCAAATTTTTAAAAAGCCACATAAGGGTAGGGGGTGAGGCGGTGGTAGGGTGTGACACGGTAGTTGCTACCAGATAAGACGGTGCCACACTAGCATCATTCTGTGCTCTCTTGATACATGGATTTTACATACTCTTTCTTTCTTTTTTTCATTAATTTGCCAGAGAGGGTGCACGTGAGAGAGAGAGAGAGAGACCCTTCCCCATGGGGGAATCCCTTCTCATTTCTCCCCCATTTCAGCATGTTAGACACATACCCACACACACCTGGTGTGTCTCCCAAGCCTCCAAGTCCGAGACTCGAGACGCATAGTTGGCCATGTAGATTGTAGCTTAACAACTATGCCATCAGCTGGCTCCAAACTCTTTCTTCATTGCACCTGTGACATATTGCAATCCATACGGATGATCCTTGACTTAGAATTTTTCAACTTTACAGTGGACTTATCAAGATGTAATCCCATTGTAATTCAAGGAGCCTCTGTACTTAGTTGTGCAACTATTTAAGGTATCCCTCACTGGACTATAAGCTCCAAAAGAACAGATGCTTTGCCTACGTGGTCACAGCTATGTCCACAGTGCCTGGCATGAGACTTGTTATAAATACATCGTGAACACTGAAGGAATAAACACATGCATGATCCATGAAAGGAGATGCTCGCTTAGCCTGGTGCTGATAATGGAGTGCAATAAATGAAAAAAGGTCAGACCTTAGGTCAACAAATTAAAACCAATTGGTGTGTGTAGGATCATATATTCCCAGGTATAAGTAAGCCAGTGTGTGTACACATGTGTGGATACAAAAGTGTAATAGTGTGTTTGCAAAGGTTTGCATTTGTGCCGTCATGTGTAGACATGTATGCACACGTGCCAGGGAAAAACGGTGACTGAGACACATGCAAAATCACCCAGGAAGGCAGTTTCTAAGTCGTTACTTTTTATTTCGAAAGATTTGTCAAACTCTTCACATCATGGAGAGCTTGTATGATTAATAAGAAGCAGCTTTTTCATGAAATGCTTGGAGGTGAACGAGTTCTCAGCCTGTGAGATCCGACCATCCCATTGACTTTGAAGTTTCTCTTGATTAGTAGAAGAAAAAAAAAAGAGGGGGAGAAAAGGACAGACATGCTAGAAACCTATGACAGCCATCCAAATGTGGAAAACAAAACAAAACAAAAACAAAACACCAATTCACCGACTTCACTTTTTCTACTTAACAACATTCTTTGTCTCACTCTTGATTTTGACTTTCTTGGCTGAAACAGCCTCCCAGTCCTCAGAGCCTCTGAGAAGGGGCCTGACGCACCTCTCAGAGAACTGATGGTCCGCAGCTCCCAAAAGTTTGAAGAACTAGCCTGATGTGAAAGGAAACTGCACAGAAAGGCCAAGGCAGAAAGGGTGAGGAACTGGGTCCATGTGAGAACGTCCACATTTCCATAACGCAGCCCCACAGTCTCTCTCGGTCACAGCCCCCAGCCCAGCAACCGCTGCTCTCGGCAGTTCTGGGTCGTGGATGCTGCAGAATTCCTCCACGGCTGGTCTTCTTGTCCCTGAAACATCCTTGCCAACATCATGTGTCTGTTACTTCCCTTGGCCTCCCTCCAGCCTACCTGAGGAAGACCACCAGGCAGACAATACCCTGAAATAAAGTTAACACGAAGTCCTACATGGTGAGCATTAGTTTCAAACAGAATAACAGGAAACCTGAAGATGCAGCGTGTGTGCAAGGCAGAGTTGAGCAGGTTGGTTTCCACCCATACGCCAGTTAGGCAACGGGCAACGCGGCAAATGGCAGGAGGAAAATGGGACCAATTGTGGGTGAGCAAAAAGCCTTGATGGTCAAATTAAAAGTAAGAATGTCATGACTTGGTTAAGATTTCCATTTTTAGCACCGTTAATGTATTCATTTAAATCTATGTTAGCACCTTGTCCCCAGGCAGAACGACAAACCATCCAAACATTTTAAACTTTGGGGGAAATAGGACGGGGAAGGTCAGAGAGAGAAAACCCCGTACTGCAGAAGGAGACGTGGGTTTAGATCACGAGATCCTTGTTGATATCCTCTGCAAAGCAAGAAAAAAACAAAATAAAGCCAAGTTAAAAACGAGGCCCTGTGTACATGAAGACCACTTCCCTAAAAGTCAGTGGGATTGCCACCCACCCCAGGAGTAGGAAGCCAGGCCCCAGGAGCAGAGGTGACCAGCCCAGGTCACCCAGGAAGTCCCGGGACAAGCTTTGGTCTCCCTGTTCTGTCTCTCACACATGTTGCCAAGTTCGCTTCCTGTTTCCTATCCATGTGCCTGTTCCCAAAATAGTGCTTGGCGCAGAGTGCATTTTAGTGCTTGAGGAAAGGAAAGACATAGACAGTCGGATGGACAGAAGAGGACCCGGAATACGTCTGGGAGATGAGGCCAACACAAAAGGGAGAGTAGACGGGGCTCAAATAGACATGGAGGGCAGAGATAGCAGAGAGGAGAGACACAGAGAGTGCAGAGGGTGAGACGTGACTGCCCATCACCCGTGCAGCGTGGCTGCCCTTCCGCCCCTGCATTCAGACACTCACGCTCCTTGATGCCAAAGCAGCCGGCCCACTCGTCCAGGGCGATGTACTTGTCATTGTCCAGGTCACAGGTCTCAAAAAAGCGGGTGGTGCAGTGCTCCATGGGGATGAGGGGAGCGCGCAGCGGGGCCAGCTCAGTGTGGGACAGGTACCTGCATGGAGGAGGAGTCAGAGGTGAGCCTGAGGCATGGAAGAGCCCCACATGCTGGGCTAGGGGGAGGCAGTGGGCAGTGAGAAGAGGAGAGTATGTCCAGTGGGCAATGGAAAACCAAGGTCCTGGGTCTAGTCTCAGGCTCTGCCATGCTCCTACACTTTGGGCCTCAGTTTCTCCCTCCATCAAAGATGGGGATGGGACCAGCAGTTAGCATAATGGCTATGTCACTGGACTCCCACGTAGTCGATCGCGGTTCGCATCCTGGACCCGGTGGCTTAAAACTCACGTCGGGCGCTTCTGTGTATGTGCCCAAGATCCCAAGAGGAGAATAGAGGAAAAGGGATTGCGGTGTGGCCATCCCCCCTGGGGGGTGATTTCTCGCTTTCTGTCTCTCTGTTTCTCTCCATCTGTCTGGCAAGCGCACGCGCCCTATAACAAAAACCTCTCCAAAAAAAAAAAGAAAAAAAAGAAAAAGACGGGGACAAGTTGGTCATCATTTCCAAGGGCCCTCCCTGGTCTGAGGTCTCATGGGTGCAGTAAAAATCTCTTGGTGCATTTGTTTCCTAATTGGCTGAGAAAAGGGGTCACAGAAATTTAAAAATATTTGGCACTTCTGCTATTGGTCAATCAAAATCTAATCTCAAACACTGTTTTCTATGGACAGACATTTGTTTAGCAGCAAATGCCTAGAAAGGATCTAAAAAGATTTACAGCAAACAGGTAACTGCTGACCTGTGGGGAGGGCTGGGAGAAGGGACTGGGATTGGTAGTGAGGTCAACAAGGCCTCTAACCTTCTTCAGAGAGTTTTAATTTTGTGTGTTTTATGTCTGTCTATAAGGGAGACCCTTCTGATTTCCCTTCCACTGCCCTCCATCCATATCCTCTCTGTTGGCCTTGGACTCCAGCCACACGTATGCCTTTTTTCTTTGTTCCCCAGTGCCTCCCCAACCCCAACTAGTTGTTTCTAAAACATTTCCTCCCAGAAGACCCCAGGGAACAATGTAACTCCAATTCTCCAATTTTCTTTCTACCTGCTGGACCTCCCAGCTTTCCCCAACTCATGAAAAGAGTCACCCGGTGCTTGAACTCGTGAGAATACTCTTCCCCTCTTCGTTGTACTATAGGAAAACTGAGGCGCAGAGAGGGACAGAGTGAGGGCAAGGCCACCTCGAGCTCTGGGACAAGAGAAGGAGTTGGCCCCTTTAACCCAAGCTGTATTGCTTTCCCAGATGTGTGGACCTTGCAGCCTCATCTGGAAAACTCCCCCTGGGCCCCTTGTTGCAGTTGGATCCATTGGCTCAGCCTAAACCCCAGATGTTCTCCCATGACTTTTTCCCTTCCCACCATGGTGAATGGCTTCGTTGGATCCCAGCCATTGCAAGAGTCTGGGAGAGAGGCAGCCAGGAGCTTCCCAGAGCACAGGAGACCCCAGCCACTCAGGATTGTCAGCTGCGTGGGCAGGCTCCAGGCACACGGCTGAACAAAGGGCGAGGGGTGAGACTCTCAGAGAGGAGCTTCCTTGTGCAACGTCGCTCCCCCTGCACACAAGCAGGGTGCCCCCCCCCCGAATCTGTGTGATGACCCGCCTTGCACAATGAAAGAAGTAAAACTAGGCTCCAGGAAGGTGCAAGTGTGGCTTGCTCCATCTGGGGCTGAGCGGGACTCTTATCCCCAACACAGCAAGAGGTCAGAAGGTGGTGACAAGGATGAAAACAGCATGTGAGCTCCGCAGATGCATGGACCATGTCAGCTCTTAGGACTGCTCAGTCCCCTGCCTCAAAGAGCACTGGGCAAGTAATAGACCCTCAGGAAATGCTTGTTAACTGATGACTCCCAGTGTGGTCACAGCACTTCCACACTCATTTGGAGAAGGGGCAATAGCCCTCAGAAACCAGGACCTGCAATGCGAATGGGATTGACTTGTATTTTTAAGGAACTTCTACAGCCACATGGGCACTGTGGGGTTGGGCCTCAGGACAGGGCTTGGACACTGGAAAGGGGTCACTCTGCTCCTAGCTATTTGTTCCACTGAAGGACAGTAAGCATGTAGACTGCCCCACCAGCCCCTGCCACCACTTGGTATCTGTTTCTTCCCCCTAACATACCTGCCTAACTAATGGGTGCCAAGCCCCAGTACTTGCAGGATTAAGAAGATGTTTTCAGCTCTCACTGGCTTCTGCCTCTGGTCTAAAAGCATCTTATTGCTTTCTTCCTCCCAGGTCCACCTTCTTTCTTGGATACCTGTTCCTTTTGCCCCAACTCCAGGAAAACTGCAGGCTCCAGAGCTGGGAGCTGCTGAGGCTGCTAAGAGGCCTTCTGGTCATATCAAGAGCATCCGCCCAGCCTGTCCCACAATTGTCCACTCCAGGACCAAGCCAGAGAGGACCCCTGTGGTCTGGAGGGCCTGGGCTCTTACCCATCAAGGGGGTGCTGGTCCAGCTGTCCAAACTGCCAGTGCACAGGGAAGATGTACATGTTGTAGTTCTTCTCGAAGTCCCGGGCCAGCAGCTCCACAGGGTGGTCTCCGGCCTCCAGACGCTTCTCATTCTCATGGATCTTCTTCACCTGTGGGAGCAGAGACACTGGTGACTAAGGATCTCAGCTTGGCTGTCAGGGTCATTTGGAGTTCCTAATACCTCTGACAGGAGGCCAGAGTGGGCAGAGAAAGCCAGGACCGAAGCTCACAATGAGGAAGGAGTGGCATAGATAGGTATTGGCATCTCATTTGCAAAGGTTGAGGCCTAAGACTGTCCCAAAGCATTCTTCATAGAGCTTCCCACATCAATGTCAGGTGGGGAGTGTGTTAAAACATAGCTTCCTGGGCCTTGCTCTTAGAGGCACTGTTTCAGCAGGCCTGAGGTGGGGCCCAGGACTTTGCATTTTGTCAGCACCTCAAGGTACTTGATAATGCTCACTGAAGTTTAGGACCCACAGATTTAAAAGAAAAAAGGAATAGAGTGGTTCATGTCTCTTTTGTTCAACATGGCCCAAACAAAGTGAGCAGGTCTCTTCACTGCAGGACTTCTCAGAGCCTTTAAGAAGTTAATGTAGGAGCCTCCTAAGGCAGCCATGAGCAGCATGTGTCCTAGTGGCCAGGGGTAGGGTGTAGGCTTCTGCTTGGGGAACTAGTTCTAGGATGGGACTGTGAGTCTCAGCCAGTGTGGGGCCAGCGGGACCAGCCTGGAAAGAGGTCACTTACTCGCAGCTTCTGCTTCTCAGTCAGGAGGTTGTTATCCTCATCCCTTTCGTACAGGGTGACCAGGACGTTCTTGAGCCAGTCCCTCATGCGCAGGGGGAATTCAGTCAGCTCAGAGTCCAGGCAGGGGGGGATGTCTAGGATCCAAAACACAAGAGTGGTCAGCACAGGCCCTGCCTCTCCCTGCCAGAGGGTTGACATCCCTACTGGACCAGTCTCTCCCACCCCATGCCTATCTCCCACAGCCACTGCAGTTGGTGACTGTGGCCCAGGGGTTCGACCTCTCTGAACCAGGTTTCTTCACAGGACAATGAACAGAGGAGCCTGTGTATGGAAAGAACAGAGCACTCTGAAGATAGAAAGTACAAGGCATGTCTGCTGCTTCCTTGACCGTGAGCTGATCTGAGTAAAATGGTTCACCACAATGGCTCCTGCACCTTTCTGTACCCAGGACAGGGGCCCTGGGTGTGATGCAGAGTCTGGGCGCATTCTGGTGGTGGCAGCCACTAGCAGCTGTTTGAAGCTAGAAGACTGAGGAATAACATTTATCCACAGGCTCAGCAGGGTTAAGGGGTACAGGAATCAGAACCAATAGAACTTTCTTAGAGATAGGGTTCCATCTTGGCCATTGGAAGTCAGAATCCCAGGATGTTAAACTTAAAGATTTCATCCAAGTCTACTCCTCTTAGTGGACTTAGTGTGAGTTCAATGTGGAGAGAAGGGTCAAAATTGGTCAAGGCTGCATTTTGGGAGCCTCCTCCAACGTCTGAAGCAGTGTGGGTTCCTGGGGGCTCAGGAATCTGTTCCAATCTCATTTCTGGACCCATGGAAAGCACACCCCCTCTTTGGGTGAGGACCACTACCTTCATCTCCATTAACTGGGAGTGGAGAGAACATCTGTGATGGAAACACTAGGAGTGGAAGGAGTGGACAATACGCCTCAAAGGACAGCGAGCGCACTCGGTAAAGGCTCCTCGGAACACTCCTTACTCTCACTGCTGAAGACTTTCCTGCCAACACTTCCCCTAACCCTCTGTGTCTAGTCTGTACCTTCTCGTTTCATACCCTGGATTCTAGAATTGGGGAAGCAGGGCCCACTACAAGGAAAACTTTGTTTTCTAACCCCCTGCACACACCTTTCTGCATCCTGCACACCTGAGGCAGGTAAGTGACTCTTCTCAGTGTCATCTGCTGCCGGAATGTACCAGACACACAGCCCAGGTGTTATCTTAGAGAGGAAGCAGGCATGGGTGTTTCAAATGATAGGGACGATGCTGAGTGAGGCATCGGGGCCAGCTGAATCTGCAGCTGGGATTGCTAATGAAAGGCCAGACACCCTGGCATTGCTTCCTGGAATACCTGATTCCCAGTTTTCTAGAAGAGGATGGTTATCATGTCTTAAGAGGGCAGGTAGGGATATACTGGAGTGAAAGAATCAAGACTATGATTAATAGAGCCTAGAATAAACTCACAGGAGTGTTCTTTTAAAAGAGTCAGATTCAAATATTTTAAAAATATTTTGTATGCTCCGGTCAGACATCATTCTTGCTTTATAGTTCTGAAAGGGTTTGGTTAGCCTTATAGAAAAACTTTCTGGGACCAGCATATGGTGTAGGGATTATATTGCTGACTCCCACAGAGTTGAATGTGGCTCAAGTCCCAGACCCAGCAGCTTAAAACTCATGCCAGGCATATGTGCATGCGTGCCCAAAATCCTGAGATGAGAATGGAGGACAAAGGGACTGCAGCATGGCCATCCTCCCCGGGGAGTGATTTCTTGCTTTCCGTCTCTCTGTCTCTCTGGTGAGTGCACATACCCTATAGCAAAAAATCTCTCTTAGAAAAAAATATAATAGGGCCAGCAGGTGGCTTGGTGGTTAAGGGTGCTGGATTCCCACATGGCTGACCACAGTTCAAGTCCCAAACCTGGTGGCTTGCTTTCTCACTTTCTCTCTCTCTCTCTCTCTCTCAGTCTGTCCCTCTCTGGTAAAATTAAAATAAAAAAATAAACAAACAAACAAAGTTAAAAAAAGAAAAATAATAACAGAAGAAGTTTCTTATGGAGAAATGAAAGGCAGCGGTCTTGGGTGCTATTGAGGGGGTTCAGAAATTTTCGCTGATCTTGTGCTTCTACAGTTGCTTAGTCCTTCCCCAAGAGAAGTCCTGAACTCAGAGTTTAAAGGAACCCCCCAACACATAGAAAATCACCTCATTTTATAGACAGGAATTTTGAGGCTCAGAATGGGGAAGAGATTTGCCTGAAGTCTCACAGCATGAGGTGGCAGAGCCAAGGTCTATGCCCGTTTAGAGCTCTCCTAAGACCGGAGGGAGACAGGAAGGACCCAAGAAAGACTCACATTTGCAAGGCCCGATGTAGTCCAGGTGGAGTTTGTGGCCCTTCTTGGTGCCCTCCAGGGTGCACTTTGTGGCAAAGAAGTGGCAGGAGGAGTCGAAGGTCTTGTTGTCATTGCTGCACACCTATTGGCCAAGCACAGAGCAACCACTCTCACTCCCAAAGCCCTTTGCTGGTATCACCATACTTGCCCGTGTCAGAGATGTGGACATGCGGGGCCAGCAAGGAATGTGATTAGCCCAATTTCATACAGTGAGTTAATGGGACAAGAACCCACTCTTTGGGCTTCCAAGCCAATATTCATCCCATACTGAGAGCCTGAGTTAATGGGACAAGAACCCACTCTTTGGGCTTCCAAGCCAATATTCATCCCATACTGAGAGCCACTGATGGTCTCAGAGCAGAGGCATGACTGAGGCAGGGCTGCGATATGAAAAAACACACCTGGAAGTCATTTGAAAGAGGAATTAAAGATAAAGATACAGAAAAGATGACCACGTGGGGGTCAGTTAGGAAGCACAGCAGTTAAGCAGTGTACATAGGGAGCCAGACCCCATATTGCCAACCATGGTTCGAATCCCAGCCCCAATAGCTTGAAAATATTTGTGCATGCCTAAAATCCTGACTGAATGGAAAATTGAGGAAAGGAGGATTGTGGTTTGACTGTGCCCCCATTCCGGTGCTTTCTCTCTCTTTTTCTTTCTGGCAAGCACATGCACACTCTAGCAAAAACAAATTCGCAAAAATTCCCTCCCAAAATAGCATTAAAAAAAAGAAGAAGAAGATCATGGGACAAAGAGTAAACATGGCAGGCCTAGGATTATTACCCTTAGAAAGACCTGCTTATAATGCTGGTCCTTGACCAGTGTCTGGGAACTTGGCTGGTAAATTGTTCTCTGATTTTCCCTAAATGATAAGGGTGGCTCACTGTGCCTGAATCACTTGTTTAAACAATCTGATTTATACTGAACATCCACTTTCCTTCTGGGAGTCTGGAATCTGGGTACATGCTAATCACAGGGTGCCTATGTGACCAGTTCTCAATTAAAACTTTGGGTGCTGCATCCCTATGGGTTTCCCTGGACAGAGTTGGAAATAGAGTACACCCTATGTGGCCCCTCATGGAAGGGAGAGAGTGGTAGAGAGTAGAGTGCTAGAGAGTAGAGAGTAGTCTCCACATGGATTCTCCACAGACTCTGTCTTTCCCCTTATGATCCAGCTGTGTATCCTTAATAGGTGACTGTAACAAATCTCAGCTCTTACTAAAATTGTAGGCTGAATCATCTGAGTCCCCCGTCAATCTCTGAATGTGGAAGTTGTCCAAGCAGAGATGCCAAAGCCTGGCAAGGATAGTGGCACTGAGGAGTTGTATTAGAAGGGGAGCCTTCTCCCTTATGCAGGGAGAACTGATGAGCACTGGTGACCAGTGGGACGGCATTGAGGGTGGGAGGTGAGGAGAGAGGAGTTGATAATGATGCTAAAACTTGGAGCCAGGAGACTATGTTGTCTTGAGGAGAGACCAAAGATAGAAAAGCCAGATCAGAGGCTGTCAGAATAATGTGGGAGCCAGATTTGCTGCCTTGATGGTTGGCATGAGTGAGTACTCAAAAAAAAAAAAAAAAAAAAAAAAAAGAAAGAAAGAAAAGAAAAAGGAAAAGAACAGAAAATGTACTTGGATGAATGGATGGATTGAAGGATGGATCCTACTGGATATAGAATGGAGGATCCTACTGGATATAGAATGGATTGGTTTGAGAGATAATAAAAATTTAAAAATTAGGTAGCATTAATTCGGTACTTACTTGGTACCAGGCCTTATCTGAAAAATCCCCACAATAGCCTGATGAGATATTGACTATTCTCGTCCCCTCTTTAGAAATGAGAAAACTGAGACCTACAGGTTCAGCAACTTAGCTAAGATCTCATAGTAGATAAGTGGTAGAGATGGGGTTTGAACTTACCTTCAGTCTGAGCCCAGAACTCACATTTTGGAGGTGATGTTTGCTAAGCTGTTTCCAAGTAGAGAAAGCCCCTATATCATAGTCCTATCTCAGCTATGCTCTTTTGCGTTGGCATCAAGCTTGGAACCTGATGGTGCTGAATAAATTCTTGCTGGTTGCCAGGTAGAGCCTCACCTCTGACTCATCTCCATTCTCCTGCTGTGACTATGTGTAGAGAGGGGACTTCTAAAATAGGAGCTGCTCCATACAAGCACCAAGACAACAGTTTCCTGACACTCTTTTACGAAGGGTTCAATCCCTCAGTGCTCTGCCCTTGTCCCTCATTGCTTACCTTCTCAAACTCGCCAATGGGGGCAGGGCAGCTGGTGGGGTCCTGGCACACGCACATAGGGGTGTTGTTCTCATCTAGCTCGCACACCTTGCCATGTTTGCAGTGGTGGTTCTGGCAGGGGTCTGGTAGAGTACAAGGGCCCAAAGTTAATACCACCCAAGCAAGAGTATTCTCCGAGCTGATCCAGACCAATCCTTAGACACACGGTCTTTAGCTGTGTCTCCTGTTGTAGGCTTTGGGCAGACTTGAGTCCTCCCTGCTATTCTGCTGAGCCTAACAATCTGCATTTAGGAAACAGGAGGGATTAGAGGTTCTGTTGAGAGCAGAGTCAGGCATTATTGGGGGACTGGAGGTTGAGTCTGGGACCTGAAACACTGGATGCCATGTGATTCCTCTGAGATTTAACTAAACATGTGGTCTTATTTCTCGGTTTAAATCAGCGAGGTATTTCTGATTCTAGAATAGACTTTCTAGAATGGCTTGGAAAGAGTCCTTGTCATAGACAGAGGGAGCTATGAGGCCCAACACACAGACTTAAGGGGCTATGGAGAAAAAAAGAGCTTACACTGGATAATAGACCTGGGCTGTTTCTGGTGTACACCAGAGGAGGTGGGCGTGGAGGAGGGAAGAGACATGATTCAGAAGACCATCTCAGCTCCAGCTTGGTCTAAATACCCATTGAGAACTGAATCTAGCCTTTTCCTCCTAAGTGTTAATTTGGGGCATTCTGATTATCCTTTATCAGATACTTATACTGCCAGGCACTGGGCCCAGTATTCTCACGCTTTGTCTCCTAATCTCCCACCAAACCTGTGGCAAGGGCCCACCATCTTCACCATCTCTCTATCAGAGATGATGAAGCTGAGGCTCTGTGGAGCTAAGCAAACTGCCAGGGGAGCCTAGATTCCCACATTGGTTGGTTTGTTTCCAAAGTTCATGCTCTTAACCATGACAGGACAGACATCTCTGTACTGTGGACTCGGCCAGAAGCCCTAGGCCATTTCTCTTCCTCTGGCACTAACCCCACAGCCAGCATTCTATGACTGATGTCAGCTTTCACTTTGTGAAACTGAAATACACTAACGAGTGTAAGCACTCATGATCTCTACTCTAGGAACTGCTTCTGGGTTGGGCTTGGGCTGAGAAAGAGGCCATGGGTGATTGCAATGATCAGATGTGACCAGTGACCTCAGTGGGAATATGAAACCCAACCGTGGAATCAGGGCCAAGAGCTGTGAGGAAAGATGGCCATTCCCAGCTGGGGAATTCACTTCCCTTCCTGTCACACAGCATGGCTGGCCTGGCTATTAATAGGTCTTTCCCAGATTGCAGGACACAGAGCTCCAGACAGTGCTCCCAACTTTTACATCAAAGCTGTTTCTCCTCTGCAGCCACGGAAGATCCCACCCTGCATTTCCTTGGGAAGGAAACTTGTGAAGCTGTCCCCAGTTCCTTGGCCCAGGCAGCCAAGGACAGACTGGATGTGCCAAGTCACAGGGAAAGGACCTACTTTCAGCAACCACTTCTTCTTCAGTTTCTTCAGCACCTTCATCAAATTCTCCTACTTCCACCTGGACAGGATTAGCTCCCACAGGGACCTGGGATGGAGAGAAAAGAATGAATAAAATGGTCCCCACCCCATCCCAGACCTAGAAGAAGGGAGTGAAGACTGGAGGAGGCTTGCTCTGGGTACCATAGGAGGTGAATGAGATAAGCTGGAAAGGTGGGCTGGACCCAAGTCACAGAGAACACAATTGCCAGGAAAGAATTCAGATGAAATTGTATAGACCCACGTGCTTTGTAGTGCCCTGGAATTCTGTTGAGATGCTCAGAGGCCACCGGGTGTTAGGGCAACAGGGGCTGCCAAGTCCTGCACCCCACCAGCCACACCTGAGCAGCTCCCCTGTCCTGTTTTATGTCTAAGGAGATGGAAGGTGACCATGGAGGAAAAGTAAAAGATAAAAATTTTGGATTGCCCCATGGCCTAGTGGTTAAGGGAGCTGGACCCCATATGGCCAACCAAATGGTTCCCAGATCCAGCAGCTTGAAAAACACATCAGAGTCATTTCAGTGTGTGCCCCAAATCCTGAAAGGATGGAGAAATGGAGAAGAAGGGATTGCAGCATGACCATGTCCCATTGGGGGTACACTTTCTCCCTCCCTCCCTCTTTCTCTCTGGCCCTCTGGCCAAATTTTTAAAAGATATTAAAAAAAAAAATTCAAAACCACAGCTCTCAACTGTAGTTTCCATTGAAGGTTTGGGAAGATTCAGGAGTCTGGCAGGACTTGGTGGATATTCAGGATTTACCTCTGTGCTGTGTGCACAGGAGGTGATACATGCCCCGTTCTAGCACCTATCTGGATTCCCCAGGAAATGGGTGTGGGCAGAGAGAAGCCTGGGGCCCAGGGTCACCACTCACGTACCTCGGCCACCTCAGCCACGGTTTCCTCTACCACCTCTGTCTCATCAGGCAGCGCTTCCTGTTGCTGCTAGAAAGAGAAAATGGGAGTTCAGAGAGTTCAAGGCCAAGGCCAGCTTCACTGATGAAGTTCCTATGGCCTGGAACATAAGCTGGGGGAGTGTGAGAAGCATTCGATGTCCCCAAGGCTGTGCCTCAGGACTGCTACGGATAGCAGACAGTGTAAAGGAGAAGCCACATGTGTGGTCTCATGGAAAAGCAAAGCAGCTCCCCTTTTATATGTTTTACATCCAGGGTGTCTAAGATTTAGCTTGGAAAAGCTGTTCCCAATTTCTGATATTTTGATTTCCTACAAAATCTGAAATCCATGGATCCAGGCCAGTTCCCCCATTTACGGATGAGAAAGCCATTGGGGGAAGGGAGGGCATGAACACTGAATTTAACAGATGTCATTATGTTCCCCACATTATGATCTTATTACTGTTATAATTAGCCAACTGCTTCTTGCCATCTCAACAGGAAGTGGGAAGAGGCAAGATAGCATGTATCTTCAAAGCCCCTGGCTAGTTAGGGCTCCTGCTTAAATTAATGCCAACCTTGCAAAGCTTTGTGTCAGAATCTACCAGGCTGATCAAGGTTATCAGGGTCGGGACCAGCAGTTAGCGTAATGGCTATGTCGCTGGACTCCCATGTAGTCAACCGCGGTTCGCGTCCTGGACCTGGTGGCTTAAGACTCACACCGAGCGCCTGTGTGTGCGTGCCCAAGATCCTGAGAGGATAATGGAGTAGAAGGGATTGTGGTGTGGCCATCCCCACAGGGGGTGATTTCTCATATTCTGTCTCTCTATCTCTCTGTGTCTGTCTGATGAGCACACAAGCCCTATAGCAAAAACCTCTCCAAAAAAAAAAAGAAGATTGTCAGGGTCTACCATCACTCCTACCGCCAATAAAGAGAGGATAAGGGGATTGCAGGTTAAAAGAAACTACTCTTTGTGCTTGCCCCACATTTCTTCCCTCTTTCTCTGCTGGTGGCTTCTACTTTCACTTTAGATAAGCACTCCTGACCCTCTGCAAGTAATTCTTGGAGGGACTTTCAGTCAGTCAAGGTGCCCCAGTCTCCTCTGGCTAAGAAGGCCCAGAACCCACGCTCAGACAAACTGACTCTCCCTGATGTGTTCAATCTTGGCACATTCTCTCAAGGTTTGAAACTGTTGGAACTGATTCATACAGATGGTCATGTCTCAGAGGCCATCCTTCAGTTCTTATAACCCAAATCCTGGAGCTACCCTTTCTCAATCCTTCCCAAGGTCTTTGACTTCATAATCTACCCCCATATCTTCCACTCTTTC